ATATAACTAACTGCCATCCTATCACTCAATTCACCAATCATATGACTTGCCCCATCTACCCACAAAGTCACCGAAAATAACTCAAACCCCCCAAATACCCAGTTTAGCAAACACAGAACGTACCAAGCAACTGAAACATATCCTAAACCAAGGCGCTACTCCCGCTAAAATCTAAAGGCCTCCTCCAAAATCCCAACTGCAAAGCAGCTAATCAGCCTGAGTAGCAGCCTCCTGAAATAAGCTCATCAACGGCGGACGCACCTCGATCCGGAACCGTCGGCCGGCCGCAGGGCATATTACAGCCCCACCCTCCGACCACCACCTTCACACGGGCGACACACGTACAACACACCCTACCGCCATCGCCAAAAGCACGTTCGGAGCCAGGGTGCGAGGAGCGACGGATCTCGAGGCTGAGCCGGCTAGCTGTTGCGAGGGAATCGAGGCCGCGACGTCGGGGCGCCTGGCTCGTAGTGAGCGGCGAATGCAGGTGAGTGGGTATATCCGCGCCGGTCAGCAAACAAGAACCGCCGCTCTCGATCCCCCTCAGTCCGATCAACGCGTGCCGCTGCCGTTCTGGCCCTACCACCCCTCACACTCCACACTGCGTCGCCCAAGTCCCCCGACCGACCGTCTCGCACCCGCTGCCGCCACACCCCTCAGCCTGTCGTACGCATCCTAACGCCACGTCCGGCTCCTGCTCGTTGAAAGAGGTAGAACTCGCTCGTCGAGCTCTGATCGGCAATTCAGGCCGGGTCCATCGTCGCGATAGCCGGGTGGTCCAATGTGCGCGGGTGCCTCGCCTCGACCGGCGGCTACCAATCCGAGCAGCGCTACCTCCACAGCCCCGTGATCGCCATCATCACCAACACTGTCGGCAGGATCAGCTCTGGCGCGGCAACGAACACAACGTAGGTCACGACAAAGAGCAACGACTGCACAGGACGGTGCCAGCTACGGACCGACTCGATCCACCGGCCAACGGCGATTGGAGCAGAGAGGACGGCGACAAGGCGGAAGAAGTTGGCTTTGCTTTTCCGCATGCTCCATAAGTGCGAGCCGTGGTCGAGCATGAACTCGACGACTTCTCGGCCCAACGGAGGCTCAGCGCGTGCCAGACGAGCGGCGACGACGTTCGTCGCTTGGGACCGGAGGTTCTCAACTTGACGAACGAGCAAGGGCTCAACATAGTGCATTTTGGGGAGCAACGGTCGGATGTAGGAGTGTAGCATGTTGCCGGCATTGATGCAGGAGAAGCGGACAGCCAGGTGGAGCTCGCCCATCTTCTTGACTCCGGTCGGATGCAGCATCACTAACGGGTACGAATGAGTGTACACCCGATCAGATTCAAGCGACGATAAGCGGATCCGAACTTTTCCGATTCGGGCATCTCGAACCGGCCCATTGTTGTGAACATGGGAGTTGTCGAATGCTCCAATAGTGATCACAGTGCAAGGATCGAACACCTCCCAAGTGTACTGCTCGTTCCATTTCGGGCACACAGAGTCGACGACGGTTCGGGTTCGGATCCACTTCTGCCCGTATTTTGCAACACAATACGCATCCGTCGACCCGCCTTTTCCTTCTCGGATCTTCATCGGCATTAAACCCGTCGCACCCAAGATCCCCAATTCGAGCACGCCGACGTGCGGGCT